CTGGCTGGTCTCAACAACCATACAACTCTTCGAACTCTAGCTAGTACGGTTCAAAACTGTCTCAATAATCTCATGCGTGTCTGGATGTTCACAGTCTGTCATGTCGTGTCCAACACAGGGTGTAGTGTCCAGTTGTACGTAGTTGTCCAACCGTGTTACAAGCCTCACCCTGATCATCGTCTTCGATCGTTTGTACTCCCTTAGTACTAGACCACACCTAACACAAGTTCTCGGCATGGTCTCATAACGCCAAGCCAATTAGGAAGAAGCCAATACTAATGATTAGTAGACCGAACCCAAACAGAATCGAACGGATCATGTGTTTCGTTCTCATCGTAGTAATCAAATAGACCTGCTGAAAGTTAAAATGTTTCTAACTCCTTCGACAATCATATACCAAGCGTCATCTCTATCCACTCAAATACTGCCGTATAGATCCAACACTTGCGTAAATGACTGTACCTACCCAACATAAACTACATAGGAACCACAACTGTGTAACCAAAGTTGTGTAAACGACCCAAACTACCAAGTGCAAGAACAATCTGAACCATCTGGAAAACATCACATCCATTGTCAAGCATGTGACGTACCAGCTTCCGGACCTGCACCATCTTCCGAACCCCTCCCCTCCCCTTGTTTCTTTTGAATCAAGATGTGTCTTGCTCGGCCCCAGAAAACCCGTCTCTGTTTTTCAATTAAAAGTGTCTCACTAAGACCTGTATTTTTGTCAGCACTAGTGATTCTTGAAATTCCATTTTTATAATTTGGAAATGCATGGGAATTACGGGCAACTTAGCGAGCGCGCTCAGAATTTGGCTCGACGATTAGGAATTCCAAAATTAACGGAACTCGACGTATCCTTTCACGCATGAATGTTCTCGGCCACGACGTGGAAAACCCTGAGAATTTTGTAGGAATATGGATAGACGTAGGACTTTCTTTCTTTTCCCGCGCCTACTTTGCGCGCGGATATGGTGATTTCAATTTTTGAATTAGCATAGGACTTGGAAAAACTACAACTCTTTCGGTGCCCATTTTTCATTGTGTGTTCGGCGCCATGCATACGAGCTCCCTCCTCCTTCCTTCTCGCGCTCCTCTCGACGCCCTCCTTCGCACGCCCATGCTCCCTCTCTCTCTCTCCCCCTGTAACTGTTTTTCTCTCTCCTTCCCCGCGCGCGCCCTTTTTCTCTTTCTTGATAATCTGAATTTTGGACCCGTTTCGCGCTATCCTTCGCACCCTTCTTCTTCTCGCTCTAAATCCTGCGCTCGAAAACCCGGTCGATCCTCTCTTTACCCCATTTAGCCAAGGAGAAGCGTCGTGTAGGAGGAGATCTCTACTACGTGACGATTCTGATTAGTAGAGATCGGATTGTGAGGGATCAACATGACTTTCGATGGGCGATTAGTACCGATTACCCTCAAGCACTCCCTCGCCCTCCTCTGCCCCATTCTTCATCTTTCCTCACATCTATCTCCCTTCGCGCAACTATAAATTCCGCAAGCGCGTCCACAAATCTCTCTCTCAACTCGTCAGCCAGCTTCCGGGAAGCAGTGGCTAGATGGTGTGTGTGCAGTGCGAATCGAAAAGTCCCGACGAGATGACTGTAGACTTGCTGGCTTTGCGCCTGATCGCCACGACGGACTGTGGGATCGGGGCAAGCCCGTGCAGAAACTAAGTCGGCGGGGTGATGATCGTGGTGGTGGAAAGTGGTACGTGACGACCGGGATCGTCAGTGCATGTATGAGGATAGTGATCAGAGTTGGATGGATAAATGGCCCGGGGCCATGATGGAACTTTTCGGAGGATACGCCTCCTTTTCTCAAATCTATTCTTTGGTGTGAGTGCAGCTCCACGACAGTTAAGCTGAAAATTCTTTTCATCTTTGGATTTTTGCATGATTTTCATCTATTTTATTGTTTTCATCCATTTCGCACCTCTTCTCCCCACCTACCTTATGGCATGAATGACTATGTATGCTTGTCTGATGGGCTGGCGTTTTGATTAGCCATGGGATGACGGGGCATGGGTGCAGAGCACACGGAGAACTGAATGATGCATGGCTGTCATTTTCGCACCTTCCGCGATGAGTAACCACGAGTAAAGATGAAAACACTCGGATGAGGAGAATGTCGTTGATGGACTGGTCTTTGATTAGGCCGAAGAGTTGTTGCGAATGGAATGTATGAGAATGGTCGAGCCATTGGTAAGGGCAATGTTGTTGGGATTTTGTTCGAGAATGCAAGAGTGTTTAGATCTGTCGATGATGTGATTGCGGGAGAATACCCCGGGATCTTCAATCCGGAATACACTGCACATGCCATCTGCAGCTTGCCCTCGATACGCAAAACCCGAAAGGCAATCTATCTTCTCAGAAAGAAGAAGGGCGCAACGTGCGACCTGCATGCGTGGATCACTTGCCGCGTCCCACCGGATGTGAGTACTGTCCCCATGGTTTCTTTATGAAAACTCCTTGGCGAGACCATTAGATCATTATGAATGCTCTCTCTCTCTCTCTCTCTCTCTCTCTCTCTCTGTGTGTGTGTGTGTGTGTGTGTGTGTGTGTGTGTGTGTGTGTGTGTGTGTGTGTGTGTTTCCCTCTGCCCCGCTCCCCCTACACCTTATGTATGTTCCAACCTTCATATCCGTCAACGTGAGCCGAAGGTGAACACCCTGGAACTCAATCTATAGAGCCCGCTTCGCCAACATATCTCCTTTTTGGCCCTGTATATCAAATGCAGATTCTCCTTTTTGGCCCTGGATATACGGAAAGCGCGTACAAACTCCTTTCCTTTGTGGCCCTGTATATCAAATGCAGCTTCTCCGCGATCGCGCGGTTGAGCGGACGTGCCCACATACGCGTCTGCTAAAAGTACATTATTCATGCTTCCAGCCTGTGGAGTGGAATGTACTCTCTTCTCTCTCTCTCTCTCTCTCTCTCTCTCTCTCTCTCTCTCTCTCTCTCTCTCTCTCACACACACACACACACACACACACACACACACACCTATCTCCATATCTATCTATCTATCTATCTATCTATCTGTCTATTTATTTATTAATTACCTACCGACCTATCTAGCTAGCTAGCTAGCTGTGTGTGTCTGTTCCACACACCCCAAAGAAAGATTCGGGAAGCAGCAGGGATGGATGGAAATGGGACCGAGTGAAGAGGAGGACGCTGGCATAACTAGGTAGAGGAAGTTGAAACCGACCCACGTGGCAACAGCACCGGAGGCAAGCGATGGGAATAAGATCCAGCGCAGAGCAAACGAGTGCGGGAGGCGACTCACCCTGATCAGTGGATGAACACGTTTCCGCGACTGACCACCACCCTATTCCACGTGTTTGCGCGGCCGCTCTCACCGGGTGCCACCTACAACATCTGCATTGGAGGCGACAATGTGTTTGTGTGTGTTTGTGTGTTTGTGTGTGTGTGTGTGTGTGTGTGGTGGTGGTGGGGGGGGGGCGCTCACACCGGGTTCCACGTGTTTACGCGCTTGAATCAAAGTCTGTATTTTGTTTTGAGTGTTGTTTTTTGTTCTTGTTTTTTTTTTTTTTGAGTTTTGAGAAGCTTTGTGTGTGTGTGTTGTCTGTGTCACGTTCGCTGGAAACAACTCTTCGAAAAATAGCATGACTGTGGACGTCGGCGCACGGGAAACGAAACGAAAAATGAAAAACGAAAAACGAAACGAGTGCATCTTCCTGCAGAAAATGGCCAGGTTCATAGTAACCAGTGTATTTTGCCACCTTTCGTGGGCAGATAGATGCACTCGTTTCGTTTTCGTTTCGTGTGCCGTGTGGCTCTTTTCACTACCTACCACTACTCCTAAGGCTATACAGGGGACCCCTGCAAGCATAGCTTTCTACCTCTCTTCGGTGAAGGGAGGTTACCTCTCTCGGTCGTTGGAGAGGGGTAAGTGCATGTTTGCCCCTTGCCCTAGCGTTTTAGGGTGCAGGGTTGGGGCCGCCGGTGGGGGGCGGCTAACACAAGGNCTCTCTCTCTCTCTCTCTCTCTCTCTCCGAACTATCTTTGCGGAAATGAAGGAGTGCTCTCACTTTGCTTCGTATGTCTAAAGCGAACAAAGGAGATAGCCGAAGAAACCCGATCGATAGGTTGTGTATTTTCGATCATCACGACTGTCGGATTAACAATGAATGATTGAGACCGACCCTTGCGATTGATTGGACTGCCATGTGGACTGACGGCCTCAACCGGACTGGGCGTCGGCCTCTCGTATCCCCGCCACGTCCCTTCCCGTACAACGAGAAAAGGACACGTTTATGCGAGTGGGACGTACGAGAAGTCGTCGCCAAGATCGGCGACCGACACTATTTCCCTCCCGAAACTCGGTGCTCAGGGTTTGTTGGTGCTGGCTTTGTCATTATTGATACTCATTTTCCGCCTTATTCGCTGCTATTGCTATTTAATGAGTTGATCGTCATTCCGTGGACGGCAGTGGCGCCCCATTGGCCTAACACTCTGTGCAGCGATTGTTGTCGCTTCGAGCGTTACCAATCAAAGGCTTCCACTACTGAGTACGGAGTGAGGACGAACATAAGGAACGAGCTACGCGGCTGAGACCCTCCACGCCAGATTCTGAGTTATGCAATGAGCGGCGTCGGGACTTGATCCGAAAGCGAGACACCAAGTGCGTACCTGCTCCCTTTCACGAGAAGCGAAGAGCAACGACTCGATGAGAAGTTCAACGATACTTTTTGGATTGAACTTCCCCGTGCCGAATGTCCTGTGCGTGCCTTTTTCTCCCTCGAAACCCGCGCAGGGATGGACCCTCCCCCTTCTTACTAAGTCGGATCGGCACAGGGGATTTCGGCTCTGTCCGTGTCCCCACACTCAATTTTCCAAAAATTCGTGGCACACCCCATCTCGCTGTCTTTCTGGGGCCCTTCCGCAATTTAAACACTCCGAACGGAAGACAGCGCAGGGCATGAGGTTGGTATCGGAGCCGACACATGTTGGTTCTGACGATAGTAAGATGAGCTGGCGAGAGGAAGATCAGCTAAACGATCTATAATCGTCTCAGTCCTCCCGTCACTCGACAGAGGTCCGCCGAAGCTTGACCGGAGATGCCCATGACCGATGCTAATGGAACACCTCCTCGAGTGATGGTAAGCATCCCCGCTACCTTCCCATTCTATCCCAACTACACTCATCCAAAGGCATGCAAGCTTAGGGATATGGCATCGAGGACCTTCCCCGTCATTGCCCTGCTACTGCGAAACACCGCACATGATTGGTTTATAAGGCATAGATGGGTAGATTGGGACACCTTTAAGAGGGCGTTCCTAGCAAGATTCGACGCGGTCAGCGAAAATGCTGCATGGTTCGTACTGAAAACCCGTCCGCAGGAACTCGGAGAACTGTTACCCGACTTTGTTGATCGATTTCAGACCGCATTAGACAAATCCGGACGGGAAGAAAATGTTGCTCGAGATCTGTTCATCGACCATCTCCGCAATCCAGTGTTAAAGGCAAAACTGCAGAAAAAGGTCCCTCCTAAGACGAACCAACTGTCCGTTATCATAACTAAAGCCCTTGGACTGGATCTGCTGGATACGCGTAAGTATATCAGTCAGGGAGAAAAGATATCTCGGACACAATCCAAGATGTGGCTGCTAAACGGCGGTCATGGCTCAGAGCGGTGGGACGATTTTACCCTCGTCGTGATCATGACTACCAGGACGGACCCGCTCCGGATCCCTCCCCGTATCATTCCCTACCTCTCTCGAGACCTCCTCCTCCTCCCAAAATGGCGCTTGTGAACACAGTAATGACCCAAGACGCCGCATCGGTGCCTATCACTAACATGCATCTGGCTCAGATGATTCATACCGCCATGACTAAACAGTCTGAGTGGATGAATAATCTGATTTAGATGCAGGCTTCTAAGATGGATCGGTTGGAACAAATCATGACAAAGCTAATGAAAGCAAATTCCAGCCCTTCTCGCCCCGTTCCTACTCCGTACCCTCTGTTAACCGCCCCTCCTGTAACTGGACTAGCTCCTCCCGCTCCCCCGCACGCGGTCAATCCAGTGGGGAGGATCGAGTGCTACAACTGTAAATAGCCTGGACTAGCTCCTCCCGCTCCCCCGCACGCGGTCAATCCAGTGAATGCCCCCAGCCAAAACGTAATCAAACTCCGCCAGCAGCCATGTCCGTGACCTTGAATCAAGGTCGGGTGGCCACAGTATTGGAAGCCGCAAGGGAAGCCTCCTCCTTCTCGACTGAACAACCGCCCTCGACCGACCCTATCGCGTCTACTTCGGGGTCATCTTCCGAAGCCGCCGATGTCGTTGATCCGGCCAAGTACCTTCATTTGGCAGGACTGATCGGTGCAATCCGACCTAGCAAAGATGAGCTCGAATGGGTCGAGCGGGGATCCGAACCAGGACCACAGTTTCAAATAGAAGAGATCGATGTCCTACAAACACTCAAACAGTTGGACATCCGAGTTTCGGTCCCCGTAGGACACTTGCTGACCATATCCGAAGCCGCAAATGATAAACTTCTGCAACAATGCCAGAAGAACCAAAAACGCTTCACATATCAGCGTATTCAGCGTATGCTAAAGAAGAAGAAAGAAGACGAGACTGAGACAAACCCTCCCCCTGCGACCGAACCTGACGCACCCGAGACGGTGAGAATCGCCGCCATCTCTTACGCAGAGAAAGATCATTTTGTGCGTGTGCGATCGGTCCTATGGAAAAATGTCGAGTGTGATTGCTAAGTCTGGGGTAAACCGTTTGATGCTCTTATTGATACCGGATCATCGGCCGTAGCCATATCCTTGGATACAGTCAGAAAAACGGGCCGACTGAACTCGATCCTTCCACTACCGGGGAAGGACAATTACGTCTCGGTCGATGAAGAAGCCATAAATATAGTAGGAATCATTGAGAACGTAGCGGTCAAAGTAGGCCGAGTGCACGTTCTGGTTAACGCGCTAGTCATCGATGTGCACTCTTATATGGTACTGTTGGGATTGCCCTGGGCGATGGTGGTAGGAGCACGGATACACTTCGATTCTAAACAACTCGTCCTCACGCATACTGGAGGAAGGCCTCAAACGCTACCATTAAGGATTTCTACTCGATTACCGAAAAAGAATCCCAGTATTGTCCGGATAGGAATGACCCAGATCCTGAGCCCAAAAGATTATCCCCCAAGCGGTGACGAGGAACAACACCTTGCGGGAGAGGGCGAGTATGACGAGCGCGATTATGAGGAGGAGTTGAACTCAATGCCTAGCGAAAAGGAATGAGAACAATTAGTTGAAATGTTCGGTTGCGAGACGAAAAAGGAATTTCGAATGATCCCAGCAACCACCCGAACATTTGATCTGAGCTCAGAAAGTGGCGAGCCTAGCCATATCCTGTCGACATTCTTGCCCGCATCTACAAAAATACGGATTCCCGCCACATCATTCCTAGGGGAACCGATCTTGCAGATTTCAAATATGGCTGACCTCTTGGAACCCCCTCGCACTTTGTACGAGGGCGCGCTTCCACTCCGAGCTAGCTATCAACAGATGAATCAATACCTGAATCTTTTCGTCTCTCCACCCAGATCGTTACTCACGCAAGGAGCCATGATCGCCCTAATCAAGCAAGAAGCTGAAGCCCCGATAGATGATGTTCCGGATCTTATGCAAGAAATGGCCGAGTTAACAGGATTGGAGGTAGCGGAAAGCACCACTAATTCTACAACCGATGCCGAAATTAAGGAAACTGAGATGATTAGTCCAGTCGAATCATACATGATTGCCACCGTCTTCTCGGTTCGGACCAGTAGCTTCATGTTCTCGAGTGTGAACAACTGACGATCGCAGGGGATGGATTGGATCGATACGCCACTCGGCATCTCTGATCACCCCGCAATCACAATACCCAATCATGTCCCCCGACAGATCCGAAGATTCTTAATTGATGTTTTGCATGGGTATGCTGAGGTGCTGAGTGTGCATGATAACGATATTGGATTATCCAACGTGATTGAGCATATGATCCTCACGGGGGATCATCCACCGATTAGTTGCACTCCCTATCGGTATTCGCCAGCGCAAAGAGCGGCCGCCTTTAAGAGGATTAAGGAGTTCGAAGCTAATGGATGGATCGAACTCGCCATCGGACCATGGTCGTTTTCGGTAGTGATTGTACCAAAAAAGGCAGGAGGAATTCGCATATGCATCGATTACCGAAAGTTGAATGACATTACGATTAAGGATGTGTATCCCCTCCCCCGAATCGATGAGTTACTTGATGCTATTGAAAGTGCTCGGTTTTTCAGTAAGTTTGATGTTCGCCATGGATTCCACCATCTCCTTGTTCGAAAAGAAGATGCCCGAAAACGGCTTTCATTCTTTTTGAAGGGACTTGGCAATGGGTTCGATGCCCAATGGGGATTTGCAATGCCCCAGCCACGTTTCAACGCGTAATGAACATGGCTTTCCAAAACTTCGTGAGAAAAATGCGGCTGGCGCAGAGCATAATCAATTATTGTGTGATCGTTTATATGGATGATATCCTTGTGTTTTCAAGTTCCTATTAGGGCCACGTGCAACACATCGAAGGAACCTTGCACGCGCTGAAGGACGCTAGATTCAAGGTGACTGTTGAGAAGTGTCAGTTTTTCCTTACCGAGATCTCCTTCCTCGGCCACGTGGTTACGGACCAAGGGTTGCAGCCGGAGCCTCAGAAGGTAGCAACCGTGAAAGACGCGCCAGTACCGACGTCCGTGACACAAGTGCGTGCCTTTTTGGGTTTGGCATCGTACTATCGAAGGTTCATCAAGGGGTTTGCGGCGATTGCGGGACCACTCACGAATTTGCTGAAAAAAATATCAGCAGTTGATCTGGACTCCGCAATGCGATCGGGCTTTCCGAGAACTTAAGGCGGCCTTGATTTCGGCTCCGGTCCTTATAAGACCGGACTCGGAAAAACCCTTTGTCCTCAGCACCGATTGGCGCCCGAGGCGATCTCAGCTATCTTGGCCCAGGTGGGACCAGACGGCCTCGAACACGTGGTGGAATACGCGTCCAAATCAGTGCCTGCCTATAAGTGCAATTACTCTGCCCCGACGGGGGAATGCTACGCGGCCTTGTGGGGGATCAGTCACTTCCGAGCGTACTTATATGGCCGAAAGTTCACGTTGATGACCGATCACGAACTGTTGCTGGCATTGAAGAAGTCCAAGGACTACTTGGGCATGATCGAGCGATGGGCTACCAAGTTGCAGAGTATGGACTTTGACATTCGTCATCGAAAGCATGAGAGACATGACAACACGGACGGGCTGACACGACTCCACCACCCCGACAAGGTACCTAGGAGTGAGGAAGTGATCCCCTGGCGCGACCCGGAGCCAAAGAAGGAACCTCGGTACGGACAAGTGGAGATCCTGCCGAAGGGCTAAGTGGACACGTGCACCCAATCCCGTCCCCCTCCCTCTCCTTCTCTCTCTCTCTCTCGGAATGATGGAAACCCCATCTTCTTCTGCCTCTCCCACCTCTTCCGCTCCCCTCGCTCATTTGGACTTCCTCGCCAATCTCCTAGACAAATTCTGTTATTTTCGTATGTGTATTGCCCGAGTATCTGGGGTAGACTGCTATCCCTTCGAGTCTGGATTCACTGACTGGGTAGAATGCGCCATGTGTGTCAATTGTGCACATGGCGCGTGTGTTCGATACAGAACAAGTAGTAAGGAATGGAGATACCCCCTGTGTAGAACGGACAAACTTCCTACGGAGGTTCGATTCGAGGCCGCCCGAATGGACGACCCTGAATATGACGAGAAGTACTGACGGGCGGAAGTATGGACGCATAAAATATTATTAGCTAAATTAGCTGGCCAACCATTGGACCATCTCACTAAGCACGACAGGCGTCGGGCTACTGAGAGGTCCTGAGATTATCGATGGATCAACGATCATTTGGAGAAGCGTAAAACCGACGGATCGGGATTATGGTTGACGGTTTCCCACCCATTCCAGAGATATGACTGGACTAGATCAGTGCATGAGGAACAAGCCGCTCATTTTGCAATACGTGTCACCAAGGCAACCATCGATCAAAATCGATGGTTCTGGTCTAATATCCGGGATGATGTAAAGCACGTGGCTGCTAACTGTCTAGTCTGTGCGGCTGACCGCGCACCCATTCGCGGGCCGAATACGATAATCCCGACAGAGGTAGAACGACCTTTCCAACGAGTCAGTATGGACACGACAGATATTGACGTGCCACCTAGCCCCAACGGTTGTGAATATTCTATTCTTTTGGTGTTAATCGTCCATTTCTCGAGATATATCGAAGTCTACCCTTGTAAGACCTATAAGGCCTCAGAGATAGCCACATACATCGATCGATTCCTTAATACTTATTTAGATACAGAAGAGATTCTAACCGATAATGGATCTGAACTCAAAGCTGAGGTAGAGGAATTACTGATGCGTCGTGGTGTTACTCTCCGACACACCGCTCCCCATGTTTCCCAATCGAACGGGTTGGCCGAGAATGCGAACCGCATGATTAAGACTGCCCTCCGCAAGAATTTGGCAGCTAATCACACGCGTTATTGGCCCGAGATTGTCTATCAAATTGTCGGGATCCATCGAGCGACCCCTCATGAGTCCACGGGGTTCACCCCCTTCCAGTTTCGGACCAATAGCCTTCCATGTGTCGATAATCGGGGTATATAAGAAATTGCTGAAAAAGGGGGCAGGGACACGCGTGCGGCCCTTAAGGCCGAAGCCAAGCGGTATGTGGATTTAATGGAAAGGGCCATCCCTAAGCTAGCTCGGAAAAGACAAAAAATGACCGAACTGGCCCACGGTAGACAGGTTCGTAGCTACGAGTCCCGGAATGGGAATGCGGGCCCGCAACACCAATATAAGCTAGGGGACCTGGTGCAGGTACGCAAATGTGCACGTGACCGTCGCTCCCAAATTCTTTGGCTGTTTCCTCGTCGTAGAACTCGGTCCTAACGGAGCCAATACGGTGCACATCGCGGCTGAGGCCATCGCCAGCCATAGCTCCCTCTCCATTGTCCACCATACCTCTTACCTCCGTCCCTTCCCTCCTTCTGAGAACCCTAATCCCTCTTCCTCTTCTTCCTCCAGCACAGACGAAGAACTTGCTTCCTTTCCTTCGTCTGATTCTACCTCCCCTTCACCTTCACCATGAGTTTTGTCATCGAGCCGACTCTTCCACCCCAGCTTCTCCAACCTCGAGCTTTACTGCAGTTTCGCCAAGTTGCTCACCCTCATCTCAGTTCTGACCTTCTCCGATTTGTGCAGCTCTTTAGTCATGGGGGTTGGTGCGCCGCCGTAGAAATAACAATATCGACTGATCGAGGTTCAACAGTCATCTTGGCAGAAGCATCAGGGTTTCATCGCTTCTCACGACCTACTCAGAGCGTCGTGACAGTAATCGTGGCTTTTAGTGGCGATCTGTGTACCATCGGCGTGTAGCGGCGTGATGCAGTGGTGACCAGTCTTTATGAGTGGGGGCAGGCGTTGGTGGCTGATTGGCGGCAGTGACTGGCTCAACCAGGGCGACAAGTGGTGGGGACTGACTGTATTGACACCTTTTCTCTTCGAACTAGTGCCACTGATCGCCCCGCTCGCCCGCTTCCCCATCTTCATCCCTACCCCGAACGCCGATGAATCGCTTCTCCACCTTCTCTCTCCCCTCCGACCTTCCGACCATCTAGCCATCTTGGGCCGATCCCCTTCTCACTCTGGAAATTCGTCCCGCCTCGATCCCTCCATTCAGCCCAGCCTACATCCGTAAGTGGACTGAATTCGCGGCGGTCAGTGTGAGCATGCTCACGGTGAAGTGCCACCGGTCGCGATATTACAGCAATCGGGAGTTGGAGCACTGTAACGAGATATCGCTGGTGCTGGCACTGGCCGGAAGAGACGACAACCGACGACACATTGGTAGGACTTTTGTGCGGAGAAATCGCTAAGGGCGGTCGAGCGACCGTTGCCTACGAGCTTCTCACGTTTTTGTCTCAGCTCATCGACGACCAGCCGACGAACATCATCTCCTTCAATCCGAGCGATCCAAGCCAGGTTGAACCTGTGACCTTGGAGAGGAAGTTGACGCCAATCGTAATTTGGGCAAACTGCACAGAAGATTATGGGCAGTACCTAAGCGATCACGATCCTACGGTTTGGTGCTACTTGGACCTGGACGACCTTGCCCCGGATAACTCCGATTTCGAAGACTTCAAGAGCGCACATCGGGAGAACAGGGAAGTACCGTCAGACAACGATCAAGGGCGTATAACCATTGCGGGGCTGTCAACAGAAGAAGAATCGGAGGCCCGATCGACCTCAAAAGAAGAGGAGGAAGCATCCGCGCCGGAGCCACATGAAGCTTGCCCAGTCCGTGCGCTACCTGTCAGACGAGGAGGCTCTACTTTAAATCCCGAAGTCCCTCAGGACGCCGCCAGTCAACACGATGGCGCAACAACCTCCCGTCGGCGCCGCCGCTCTCGCTCACCATCTCCCTCCGCATCCACCCCCTCCGCGTTTCGTCCCCGTCCTCCTCCCGGCCCGGACGTACTGTCCTCGTCCCGTCTTCCGTCCCCTCCCCCTCCTTGAATTCCCTCTGAATTATCGTATCTTCGCCAATCGCGCATTCTGTCATCACTTCGCCGCGCGAATTCTGTGTACGGTCTTCCCCCATCGCTCCCCCTCCTTCCATTTCAACATTCTCCTCTTTAGTGTCCCCTGGGTACATTACAACCATATGGAGTTGTATTGTATTATCTCCGGCACCTTTCCCGCCGTGGAGGATCATGAATCCCTACGGGATAATGTCCTTCTCACCATCCCCTCTCTATATCCTGATTACCTACTATCCCTGTCCCGACCCAATCATCGATTCCCCCGCGCACACCGGATCGTACACTTCGTCGATCTTGGTGACGAAGCAGCGGATTACTTCCCTCCGCTCCCACCCGAGTGGCCCCAACCTCTCCATCACCCTCTCCTTGTCGGCTACCGGCGGGCGGACTTCCAATGACGGGGCAGGGGTGCAGAGCACACGGAGAACCAGTGGACGATGATGGCATCACCTGGACGATCTCCGATGATCGAGAGACAAGGGGATTCCAGCAGCTCGAGCCAACAGACTCACAAAGATATTGCAGTTGACGTTGGCGTCAACCTGAACTCTGGCTCAACCATCTGTGCTAGTGTGGACACTCTCTCTCCTGATATACTCGGTTCCTCATTCATCCTCTCCTCCCCCTCCTTCCTCCTCCGCCATGTAAACTAACTTCCGAACCTGCACCATCTTCCGGACCCCTCCCCTCCCCTTGTTTCTTTTGAATCAAGATGTGTCTTGCTCGGCCCCAGAAAACCCCTCTCTGTTTTTCGATTAAAAGTGCCTCGCTAAGACCTGTATTTTTGTCAGCACTAGTGATTCTTGAAATTCCATTTTTGTAATTTGGAAATGCATGGGAATTATGCACGCCTTAGCGAGTGCGCTCAGAATTTGGCTCGACGGTTAGGAATTCCAGAATTAACGGAACTCGACGTGTCCTTTCACGCATGAATGCTGTCTGCCACGACGTGGAAAACTCTGGGAATTTTGTAGGAATATGGATAGACGTAGGACTTTCTTTCTTTTCCCGCGCATACTTTGCGCGTGGATATGGTGATTTCAATTTTTGAATTAGCATAGGACTTGGAAAAACTGCAATTGTTTCGGTGCCCCTTTTTCATTGTGTGTTCGGCACCATGCATATGAGCTCCCTCCTCCTTCCTTCTCACGCTCCTCTCGACGCCCTCCTTCGCACGCCCATGCTCTCTCTCTCTCTCCCCCTGTAACTGTTTTTCTCTCTCCTTCCCCGCGTGCGCCCTTTTTCTCTTTCTTGATCATCTGAATCTTGGACCCGTTTCGCGCTATCCTTCGCACCCTTCTTCTTCTTGCTCTAAATCCTGTGCTCGAAAACCCGGTAGATCGTCTCTTTACCCCATCTAGCCAAGGAGAAGCGCCGTGTAAGAGGAGATCCCTACTACACGACGATTCTGATTGGCTGAGATCGAACTGTGAAGCATCAACATGGCTTTCGATGGGCGATTACCCTCAAGCCCTCCCTCGCCCTCCTCTGCCCCATTCTTCATCTTTCCTCGCATCTATCTCCGTTCTCGCAACTATAAATTCTGCAAGCGCGTCCGCAAATCTCTCTCTCAACTCGTCAGCCAACTTCCGGGAAGCAGTGGCTAGATGGTGTGTGTGCAGTGCGAAAAGTCCCGACGGGCTGGCTGTAGACTGGCTGGCTGTGCGCCTGATCGCCACGACGGA